AAAATTAAACTACATTTACAACTATGATGCAACCAATCAAATGACAAATTATTCTGGATTTAATGTTTAAAATTAATTGTTATAGGTTTTGTCTGTATAATTATTTTTTATTTTTCCTTATTTAAATGTGAAAAATAACACATTCAAAAAACAAGATAATAAAAAATAATTAAAATAGATTTTCATGCTACCAAGTGCCTTTTAAGGCCTTTATGGAGTTACATAAACATTTTATCAATTTTTAATCCTGTAGTGAGGATTTAGGTCTCTCTGTGCTTGAAAAAGATGCTTCATTTTGTGTTGGTAGATAACTTGTTTGTGATTGACTAAAGGCCATCCAATCTCATAATGAAAATTCCATGTTATTGGTATAATTTTGTTCTACTTTCTATATATAGGCACACTTACAGGTAAGATATGCTAACAATAATGAAGATGCAGATTTTATTTTCATGGTTGTTGGTTGACATCAGCACTCACAGCTGGAACAGAAAGGGGTGAATAAAACTTTCTTTATGTATAAATATGTAATTGAAAGTGGTTTTATTGATCTCTGACAATATTTAATCATAACTTTACATTTTTAATTCATTTGACATATTGATGCTAACCATGAGCTAACAAATTCCATGTAGTTTACATTTTTCTCTAGAAAATAATAAACCATTCCAAAGTTTATTGGACTCTGAGGCATGGCTGCCTTTGTCCAGAAGGTGTCTGCTAGCTCCTTTTTATTTTTTTTTTTTATTTTATTTTTTTTTTTGTATTTGTAGCACACCTATGTTTATTCCTTCAGAAATGACTGACTTTTTACACTCTCATATATCTTGCAGCTGCTTGTAAAGAATACTTTCTCAAGCATTAATTCACTTCAGGAAGAGGCACATGTTTGTTTGTTTTCCCTGAACTTCTGGTCAGGATGCTGCTAGGAGCAGTGTCATGGTGCAGTAGTGCTGATAGGTGTGTTTTGCCACTTTACTCCTCCCAATTATTCTGTTTATGTGTAGTTATTAATTCAAAAGCACAGCACACTAAGTTCACTATGAGTTTGGAGGCCTCTAGTGAGAAGAGACCAAAAAAGGAACAGTTGTTCAGGCCTGTCACAAAAAAGGTAGAGGCCTTCTGGGTGCAAACTGTTGAAGAGCAAAAGTAATGTTGGGATTGTTCCCTCAGCAGAAAGAGGAAAGGAAATGGGTACACGGAGATGGGCGAATTGTGCTTTAACACCGAGTTTTCCAGAACTAAAAGGAAATTAGAAGCATTCTACAAAGCTGGTTAGTTCTGATGCCACTAGGTGATACTGTTCTTTATCATCACAGATACTTTTGGGGGTGGGAGGTGATGTTTGGGTTTGTGGACAAAACCTACATTACTTCTGTAACTCCTTTTTTTGGTTGGTTGGTTTTGTGGGTTTCAGTTTCTTTTGTTTGTTTGTTGGCCTGCTCTGTAGGGGTTAGTTCATGGAAGTATTCCTTGTCTTTGTGTTGCACTTGGTAGGATGTGGTAGGCATCAATAAAATAGGTAGTGTCATGTTCATGGAAACATCCTATCCGTTAATTAAAAATATGTAATGATAGGAAAGAAAATTCAGTTTACTAGAGATGATAATGCTTGGTGAAAAGTAATGCATGAAATGTTAAGCCTTACCCAAAAGAATTTGTTTTTTTCTGAGACTGGAAATAATTTGCACATCAGTACATCACTGACACACAAGAAAAAATACAAAATAAATTAATATCAATAAAAGTATATTTTGCAGAAATGGCAATATAGGAAACGGCCATTTACACCAGTTTCCGCCCATGATTCTTAACAGTTTGTATTATGTACTATTTTAAAGTATTATTTGAGTTTGGGTATTTTCAAATAATTAATATATTCTGTTACTGTCAGATTCAACTTAATCAAAACTCTTCTTAAACAATTGTCTAAAACTTTAATTTCAATTTTCTTATTTTTTTAATCCTTACAAAACGTTAAACTATTTTGCAACTATTTTGGCATCAGCAATGGCATATATCTTTACTGAATTAGTATTATTTTTAATAGTAGTGGCTCCAATCTCCTATTTTTAAAAAAAAAAAGTGGGGGTTGTTTGTTTTTGTTTTTGTTTTTGTTTTTTTCCTCATTACAGTGTAAGCATAACATTCAGTTTCTGTTATGCTGTTCTAGTGAAGATGCTTGTCCAGAGTATAGGAAGGACAGACTACTCATTGAATCTTCTATACTAAGGCAATTCCAGCAAACACAAGGGCAAGCAAATAAATTTTCCCTATATTTGCTGGTTAAAACTGTAAGTTCTGGATGTGTCTAGTCTCCATTTGTTAGTGCAGGATGCCAATTTTTGCCTTGGGTTCTGTTATATGACTGTTGGAAAGATAGAAAGAAACACCTGTGATCTATTCCCTAGTGGGAAAAACCCACTAAAGTAAAATGATTGTAATCCTTGATTTCTAAAGTTGTATCAAATTTCCAACTCTTATTTAAGTAATATTCAGAAACCGATTAGTTTGGTTTGTTACTTTATTTTAGAATAAGGCATTAAATAATGTGGCTGAATATGAGGGGCAGGTTCTGGTAGGCATCTGCTTTCAAATATCAATCCATTTATTTATTCATCTGATTGTAGTACTTTACAGTTTAACTAGCAATATAAACATTAATGGTTTTCTTGAGCTAGAAATCTCCTGTTTCCTGTAGGACTATATGAGTAATCATGCAGCTGTGAGAAATAAGAATGTAAAGTTTTTTGTAAAGGATGGTGTGAATATAACTTTGCATATATCTCACTAATGTTGATGGGAGTTAAATAGTACACGTATTTTGAGGAATTACTAAACCATATATGTCATACAAGGTTCAGTCCTGTCTTCAGATCTTAATTAATTATGCCTTGAAGAGTGCTTTTATATTAATTCTTTGTAGCAGTGATGGAAATTTTGGCACTACTATAAGTAATAAAGCATAATAAAGCATGATATCCATGAAGTGCCCACGCATCAGATTTCCACCTGACTTTTTTCTGTTTTATGGAATTATTTAGAGCAAGAAGGCACAGTTTTTATGTACATGATGATACATGTATGTATATACATGTATGTGTACAGTTTTTAGCCTAAATTTGGCATGGAAAAAAATAGATTTAACTAATATGATTATAGAAACTAATTATATTTTGTGTGTCACTTTACAAATTCATGTGACCTCATTCTGAGTCAGTAAACTTGTACACCTAGCATGCTCTTTTCATTATTGTGAATGTAAATTATCTGTCTTATCAGTCAAAAAGGTAAATACAATTATAGTTGAAATGTTCCTCATGTGAGTCTAAATTTCCTTATTCCATGTGACAAGTGTCACATTGTAGTCTTGAGAAATGAAAATATATTGCTGCATGTCTCAGTGACCTGTTGAGAATCTCCCCTTTTCTAATCAACTGGGACAGCTTTTTCTTCAGGTTTACTGTGGTAAACTGTTATTTTTGCAGAATGTGTTATATGTGGTAAATGCAATTTTTTCTAAGCTATTTAGTTTAAATAATAAAAATGATAGCAGTGGTATGGTAGAGAGGTGTCAGTGTTAGCAGATGTACTGAGAAAGTCATTTAGTGAAAGAAGTGTAAGCAAAGCAATTAAATTTGCATAAGAAATGCAGCAGAATACCACAAGTCTACAGATAACTTTATGGGATTTATATGTGATAGGCATACATCTTTTATAGTGTTTATATGCATATCTTAAGTCTCTAACAATAATTGAAGAACCAGGTTACTCAGCCCCATAAGAAGAAAAGCTGGTTTATTCAGGTCCACTGGTCCATTGTTTTTTACAGACATGGCTCCAAAATCCGTGATTATCAGTATTAAGACAGAAGCATCTATAATACAATTTTTGAAAGAAAGTTTACCAACAATTGCTTGTAAAATTTCTTTGAAGTCCTCATTAAGTTTATATTTTCTAGAAGGCAGATGTCACACATAATGGATCTTGGACTCACACTGGTAAAATTATGTGATGTGGCAAAATAAATAAGAACATACGAAATCACTAATAATTTTTATCTTTTAAATTTTGCTTTTTATGGTGGAGATGCAGGTGAACATTTATTTGGAGTTTAGTTAAAAGAAGCAGAGTTCTCACTGCTCCAAAGCACACTTCTGGTATTACTTTTTATCTATGATACATAAATACATAAAATTAGAAATACAGAGAATTTATATAAACAATCACTATTTTGTCACCTTATGTGTCAGTATCTTTCCAAATGCCATAGATCAATTTTGGGGTTCCATTTTCATGGAACTTAAACAATCTGAGATTTCTTTACATTTCCTGTATGCATGTGCTTTCAGAATAGTATTTGTCCAGATTAAAAGAAAAATAAATTCTTAAATTTTGGAAGAAGTATATTGTTGGGATTTCTTTTAGAAACATGAATTCCTTAAAGACCTTTCAAATCATGCAATTCCAAATTGTACTTTCTACTTTAAAGAGAAAGATGTTAGTATAGTGTTGAAAGTACTGAGTTGGCCTAGTTGTTTTGTGTGGCATTTTATTTAAGAAATTGTGTCTATTATGCAAGTAATTATTTTACTTGACACCTTGAAATGATTTAGTATTTTATGCCTGGCATGTATGGAATTTCTCTGATAAAGGACAGATTCTTAAAGTAATGTGAGGATTTAAAGTTAAAGGGCTAGCACTAAAGTTTCCGTGTAAGTGCAGATCACTCTTGCACTTCCTATCTTCATCTCATTTCAAAGTAAGAGGAGAAAAGTTTGTACACTTCTGCATGGATTAATTTTAGTACTTGCCTTTTCAAATAGACTTGTGGAGAGTGAAGGATCTATGTCAGAAACCTTAAGTACTTACTGCATTTGTCCTTAGAAATTATTTTAAATTGTTTCTAGGTTGTGAACTGGAAATTGCACTGTTAGAATTTATAAATTTGTGTAGTGTTGAGAAACTAAAGGAAGCGTTCTGTTGTATATCTATACCAGCAAACACTTCAAGAACATTCAACTTTTGTGGTGACTGAAACTATGACTGTGGAAACTGCTCATGTGCCTTCTACATACCTGGCAGACATCCTTCACCTTCTACAAGCCTTGTCTGAGGTAGAAGAGCGCCTTAATTCTCCTGTTCTGCAGGCTAAGGATTATGAGGATCTCTTCAAACAAGAAGAATGTCTCAAGGTAAGATGGAAAGCTTTTCTTACAATTGGATTCTGTTGGTTTGGGTCTTCTGTATATTGGCAACCTACGTTTACTCTCAGAAACATTTGTTTTGTAAGTGCTCAGTCACTCTGTGATGTGTATATGTACGGATGTTTATATGTGAAAGTGCATTGGTGCAAAATGCAAGAACACTGAAGAGTTTATTTATTTTTGTCCGATTGACCTATATTTGGAAGATGGTCCCGCTCTGGCAGAGAGGTTGGACTTGATGATCTCTGGAGGTCCCTTCCAACCCCTAACATTCTGTGTTCTGTGACAAGAACATTAGTGTATCTGCAAAGTAGAGATAAAAAAAAAAAAAAAAAAAACAAACAAAAAACCCAAAGAGTAAGGAGAGGGGCTGTTAGATAATTAGATAATTGAAGTTATGAATTTGTGGTTAAAATTTTGTGTGTTTGTAATTTGAAGTAATTAGCAAGAAACCCTATTCACACTCAATCTTGGCAGCTTTCGTGTAGTGTTTGATTTTAAAATATTTTAATATTAAAACAACAATAAACCCAAGTAAAATTTAGCTGTTCTGTTCCATGCTAGACCTAAAAAGCTTAAAGTCTGATTAGGGCTGTACTCTGTGCAATAATTACAGTTTAATTAGCTAATCAGAAAATACTGTCCAGTAGGAAGATAAAGTAGTTAAGAAAAAGCAACTTCAGTATTGTTGATATGACTGTTTTCATCATCACTTGCAACAGCAAAAATCTTTGAAATTAGTGGACTTTTTTCAAGAGAATCATCATAAGAAAAGAATAAGATTAAAACTGTAAGCCTAAATAGGTGAGTTATCAGCTTTTTCAAAATAACGTTTTTGCGAGGAAAGCCTTGTAAAAAATCATGCTTAAATGCTGTATATAATTACAGCAATTTCAAATTGTCATCCAGCATAAAGAGAAGACCCAATTTCCATTGTTCCATGATTATTTTGGGGAAGGAAAGTCTTAAAAAAAATGAAATGTTAGCCTATAGAGGCTGGAATTTGCCTACAGTCAGCTGTAAGAAGCTTAGAGGGAGAATTGGGGCAGGGCCTCTCAGTTGTCCTCTTTAGAAGCCCATTTATCTCTTTCCATAACAAAGGAAATAAAACTACATCCATTTGCTGTCATTAGCATCTATAAAATCACATCTGTTTGTAATTCATACATATTTTATGCATCTATGTATATCTGTGTGTGTATATATATATACACACACTAGTACACAGATATTCTTATTAGCTCTTGAAAATTAGGGTTTCAGTTTCCTAGCAAGGCAGTATAGTGTGTGTAGTGAAGCGTAATAGAGAAGTGTCGGAGCAAAGGAAGTATATACTGATAATAGGGCTATGTGAAATAGCAGGAAGTCATTCCTTTTAACACTTCTGATTTAGTAGCAGATTAAAGTGTTTCTGAGTATTCAAGCACGCAACGTGCCAATATCGTTGTCATTCTTCATTTGAAACAAAGTTGATTAATACAATGACACTTCTGCACACAAAACATTATAGGCTGTGTAAATAATGGCTAATGTGCAACCACTTGGTCCTTCTGTATGAACTTACGTTTGTTTACTAGACTGGATTGGAAAACAGTGACCTACCTCAAGCAGTCTACTGGTAGTTGACATCCTTTTAGTACTTCTTAATGCTTTACATTTGGGCTATCTTCAGCTGATTTATATCCATAACTAATTCGTCATTTGCCCACAAATATTTGGTATTATTGGAGTTGACATCAACTTTAATAATATTGATTACTGAGGTTACAAGTAAGTACAGCTATAGGTTTAATTTAACTGAGCTATTGAATTGTTATGAAATGCATTTGAGGACACAGTTCCATCTTCCTCTCAAATAAATCTCTCAGAAGAGGCAAATGGATCTTGCACATTCATGGGCTTTTGGAAGGGTATAGTTTTGATCTGAGCCTGTTTAATGAATATTTATTTCCAAGGAAAAGCATTTATCATTGTCATTGTCTTGCAGTAAAAATAGAAAAATAGTGCATAAATTGTTCAGCTGCTGGTTAAGATAGATTTGAAATTAAATTGTGGTTGATTTTTATCCCTGGCAGATTTGTATGAATCAAATCACAGAACTGTCATGAATAGCTGTGTTTTAAAACTGAGTTTGTGATTATTTTTTTTTTCACTCCCATTCAATATGAATCTGTTTTAATTAATCCTTAAAAGGAAAAAGAAGTTTATTTGCAACAATCATTCAGCGGTAACTGCTTTGAACATTTTTCTCCAATGTAAATATATACAGTAAGACTTTAACCCGATTGCTCATTATCCGAATACGATAAGTGTCAAATACAAACTAATAATCACTTTTATTAATTGTCATAGGTAATTCTAATACTGAATTTTTATATCAAAGATATCTAAAAATAGCAAAATATGAGGTTCTGCAGCAAAAATCTCATAAATTCTAACATTTGGTAAATTATAATTATTTTATGGGCACTTTTAATAAAGCTGCTGAAACCAGGTCCTAGGAATGTTGTTCTCTTAATTTTAAGGAATTCCTAAAAAATTTGTTCTCCTTTACTATACAGAGTGGAAAAATCAAGTAGAGAAACTATGTCTTGTATCTTTATCTCATAAAATCAGCAATTGTAATGTTTCTGTTATCCTATTACGAGCTCTTTTAAGTATTAGGGCATGCAGTGCCTCTGTTTTTCTTCATCACTGTACTTACAGTATTTAAAAAACAATTTAAATGTGACAGTTCTGTCAAAGATGAAACTCCAGCTGATTGTGTGGAAAATCATGGTTCATAGATTGAATGATTGGGAAATTTGGCTTAATGATAGACTCTCAAAATAGGAGAGATTTTGCTAAAAGGACAAACATTATGGCACTTCTGTCTGCTATCGATGATGTTCATATTAATGGAGTTGATAATCATTGAGTTTCCCATACAGATTTGATTGTAATTACAATGGATTTCATTACATGATCAAGTTCAGGGATAAAATGGTTTCAGAATTTAGCTAATTATCCTTGCTTGGAATGCATCTTCCTAATGCTTCTTGAAGTTTAAATGAATGTAAAAATTTGCATATATTCAGCTTAATCTGGTTTTAGAAAACCAAGCTTTATTGCTGTACTATGCCAGAGGTTTCCTGGGTGATGATTATCTCATGCGAGGCTACTTGTTCAAACTCCAGCTTATTTAGTGGCAAATGTATACACTGAAATAAATGTATTTATTAACCAGAGAAATAAACTAACATGTATTTCTGTTTCCTGACACATAGGAAAATGCGTGTACTGAAAAGAAACAGTCTACCTGGTATTTAAGAAGTCTAATTTGTGTTTATAGCCATGTGTGAGAAAGTGTTTAGTAGAATTTCATGTTAAGAATCACTATCATAGGCATGCCTGTTCATTACTTAATGATATTAACTGTGAATTCAAAACTGCTGCAAACCTGCAGTATGGCCTATACATATTAGGCTTTTTTTAATATTCTTAATTTCATCAGGAACACTGTATTGTAGAGTATGATTATACATTTAGCTATAATATTGTTCAGTGATGTAACGATTTTAATATGGAAAGCCATCTGGCTCTTTGAGACAGAGGTTTCTTGTATATGTCACTTCTTGCATAATCACTCTAACAGTTCTTTTTCCAGTTCATCATCTGCTGTGTTTCCTGTAGGGTCTTTAGTTAGTTTAAAAATCAGGTTGTTTGTTGTTGTTTTTTAAATACACTTTTTTTTTTTCATGCTCTTATTTTTATTTTTTTTCCCCTCTTTTCTTTTTCTCTTTGGTTGGTAATTCTTCGTCTGCTGACAGATAGATGGCTTTTTCTGCTGTTTTCTACTGTGTCTTATTTCAAGATATAGGGAATTTACTGTAAACATTACAGATCTGTGATTCTGGCATCCAAAATCCCCTTTCAAAATGTTTTATTAAACCAATAATACCCACACCAGATATTGTAACTCATAGTTCCATACAGACTTTAAAATTATAAATAATTTCTGGAATTATTCCAGCTATTCGTGATTACCAACAGTTGTGCTGTTGCTGGTTTTGATGTTAGTTCAAAAAGGATGAAATATTGTAAGAAATCAGCTATACATATAAATATAAAGCATCGTTCTACAAATGTTTGGATTGCCAAAAGTGTATTTTTAGTTTCAAACACTGACGTATGTATTTGGCATGTATTAAGTGAGTCTTATCAAGAAATATCACCTAATTTGATATGCAGAGTAGTTTTATGCTGCAAAAGTATAACCAAATGAACTCTCCAAATAGATCTGTCAGTAACACAGTGCTTGGTGGCTGATTTGTACACAAATAGCCAAGGAACTGAAATTTTACAGGAAGTTGTCTGTCTCTGGCAAATAAAGACAAATTCCAGGTAGTGAAAAATGAACTGGTGTTCAGGTCTCTAGCACTCAGATATTTCTTTTCAAGACCAATGAGATGTATCATTCCCCAAAGGCTACTGTCACTTCAGCTGCTAATGGTTTTCTGTTATCCACCTTTTCTCAAAAATGAAAGCTTTGTGTACTTCTGTTAACCGTGTTACATAAATTCCCAAAGTGGTGTTGATAACTAACTGCTCAAAGCTGATCTTTTCAACGTGGTACACAGACGAGGTGTGCGTGTGAGATACCTGAGCTTGTGCATACACATATATGCATGATATCTTTTTTCCTTTTTCTTGGACACTTTTATGCCATCCAGTTGTGGATTTCATTTTTAGAAAGTTGACTGTGTTAACTTTTTCTGTAAAAGCTATGCTCTAAACAAAAGCAAAAATCTAACATATCAGGTATTATATGCCTGTTTATAGACCGCTAATTCTAATCATTTAGGGTTGTGCCACATATCAGTTCTGAAGTGTATAGATGTAATCTATTTTTAACATTTAGAAAATTGATCTACTTGGAACATATATAAGCTCACATATCACGCTTCATTTGATTACTTTAACATTTTAAACACAATTAAGTGCCTTCTGGGGTGGATGAGATGAGCTGATACTCAAACTTAATGAAGGCTACTTGAGTGCTAACTTGAGTGCCCACTTCAGTGTGTTCTGGCACCTTTTGGTATTTTAATTACATTTTCTCCTTTTCTTTAAATATGTAAAACTTTAGTCGTGGTGAGGTTTTGTGAAGATGCTGCCTCCTATGTGTTCAAGGGATATAAACTTGGAAGATTTTGAGGCATTTTATGTTTTATCCCAGTATTTGTTATATTCACATTAATAGCATTGAATACCTTAATTATCCATGGCATAGGCGTATAAAAACAGATTAGGTTGACCTGAGTAAGGAATGTTGAGTGTGAGACGTTATGCTGGGAAAGTCAAACGAGGTTTGTTGAGTAATGCGACAGACCCAGACAGCTTTTGCTCTAGGTGGTAGATTGCTCACAAAGGAGGAAACATGTTCCTTATTGTGAATTAGCCCAGAGAACAGACATCTGCCATTTTTTCTTTTATTTCCTTTAGTCTGCTAAATGTAAGTCACATTTCTGAGGCCTGATGGATTCAAATTACTAGTCATAAGGAGCTTTATGGAACTTTTTTTTTTTTTCCAAAGAATAACATAATATAGTATTTGCAGCCCTAGAGCTTTAGGAACCCAGAGTATCTTTTTGTGTTTTTTATTTTTGGTATGCAATTATTTCAGAGCATTGCTCTGAAATCTTATTAGTTAAAATCAGTAGAATATTTAAAATGTGTGTTCCATGAAAAAAAATTGTGCACAACCCAAAAAAAAATAATAACAAGGTGAGTTGGAGCACTGATTTCTGATTCTTTTATTAAGTATTATATCCAGGATATAAAGGTCAGGTGTCATTATTTCTGACAAGGAACTATTAGAAATGAGTATACCTCCTCATCTTCTTCTATTCAGTCATAGTCTTAAATCTTAAAGGTGAAAAGTAAAATCTTGCTGTGAAATCTTCATAACTAAAACTACCCTTTAAACTGCATTCAAATTGTTATAATGTGTTAATACTAGACTCTTCTAATAGTCTAGCAATTTCTGGTTTATAAGATCATAAATGTATTTTAAAAATTTATTAATTGAAATTTTGTTGCCTTTAAAATATTGCAAGGAAAAGCAAAAGACCTTATAAAAAAGAACAGTTTTTTTTAATCGTAAAAGATGCTATCACAAGAATGTACTCTGGACTTCAGCTTATACAGTTGAAATTACTCCAGTGAGCAGAGGTTTGCAGGATTGAACCTCTATTTCATCTTTTTTGTAATGTGTTGGCATATAAATGAGATGCTTGTCCTTCAAGCCAGGTGAGTAGAGGGACAAGCAAAGTTATCTTTTTTTATCTAGTTGAAGTTAAAATGGGTGAAAACAAGTTTTATCAAACTTTTTAATTTTTTTTCCCTAAAATTGAATTTACTAGCTGTGTTTCTTTCTTTGGCTGAAACTAGTGAAAGACAATTATACTGTTCATTTATAGGACTAAACACAAACAATATATCTGAGATATTTTTTAGTGGACATGCAGGGAAGGTGAAAGGACGTGATGGACTGTTGTGCTTTGTCAATGCTTAGTACAGCTTTTATTTGCTTTAATAACTCCATTAGGTAACACGTGTAGACCGGAATACTGTTGCACATAAATAACTACAGTGTTCTTATTCCCAGCCCCTCATAGGCAGATAAACCACAGATGTTCAGTGCTAAATTCCCATGTCTCTGTCAATCCATGTGAGGCAACAGCTGACATATTCTTTGGCTAGATTCATTTGCCATGACAAGTATAGCGACAGATTGAGGAAGAGTCCACTCATGCTAAGTCTTTTTTCTCCTATTTCTGGTACATTATAACCTCCAAAAATTCTCATGTATTACTTCAAATTTGATGCCTGCTCTTCACAAATGAAGGAGAGGCAAATCTGATCTTTTTATGATGGTGAAATAAAACCATCAGATTGTAGCTACAGGGTTTAACCAGACTTTGACAGTGTTAGAGGGCAAATATCATTTTCTTTTTTGTTTGGCTTCCTACCACTGATTATTTTTCTGTCTACTGCAAAATAACACAACATTCTTTGATCCTTGTCTCCTTTCAAAAGTGCTGATAGTGTGAAAGAGCTTCTCACACACAAACTAGCAATTTATATGTCTCATAACTCTGTCAAATCAGCATTCTCCCTTATCTTTGGAATAAAGTTGCTGCAGAGTTGTGTACAGCAACTAAAGAATGTTTTTTGTGTTAAACGAGACTAAGAGTCTTTGGTCAGTTGATCTAATAAATTCTTAGCTACAAGTTCTCAGTGTTCATTCTGAGGCTTTTGTATTTCAGAAAAAAATAAGGGACAGAAACACAATAGAACAGTGATAGGTAGTGACATTGGAAATTTAGGGATGTTGGACAAAGGTTGCTAACAGAAGTTGTGAATGTCCCATCATTGAAAGTGTTCAGGGTGAGCCTAGATGGGACTTGGAGAAACTTGATCTGGTGAAAGATGTCACTGCCAGTGGCAGGGGTCTGGACTTAACCGTCTTTGAAGCTTCCTCCCAACCCATCCCTGGAAACATCCAAAGTCAGGCTGGATGGCACTCTGTGCAATCTGATCTGGTTGAGGATGTCCCTGTATTGCAGGAGTTTTGACTAGATGACCCTTAAAGATTTATGCCAGCTCAAACCATTCTCTGATTCTATGGTGAAGGCTGAATATGGCTGAATTGGCTAATTTCAAAAAAAAAAAACAATTTCTGTCATCTTTCTGATAAAGAACAAGGAAATCATAGAAATACCAAACTGTGCCTGTTTGGATGGCAGACTGAAGAGTGTGGTTGAACGTTATCTAGTTCACAGAATATAAATAAATAAACTGCATATTTAAGTATTGCTTTATAGAGCAAAAAGAAAAACTATATAATTCAGTCATGGAACTGAATGGATTGATAAATGGATAAATAATGGTCACTGACAACATGTAGAGTTTTAAATGCTTTCACATATTTGAAAGATGTTACGGGTCCAGAATAAATGCAGATTTTCTTGCTTTGGTGTTTCAACACATGGCAATGAATATCTGAAACAACAAAGGACTGACTATTTGAAAAATCATAAATGTTGAGTTGTGAATATCCAGCAAAAGGCAAAACAAATGATATCAAACTTTTCTTTTTTTAATATATGTTGTTACTTTTATATCTCTTTAATATCTGCTGAAACAAGTATAGAAGAGGAGCATAAACAGCAAAATAATTAAAGAATACTTAAACATGAGTCTGTGAAATGGGACTTTGTTCTGCTTTCTTAATAAGAAATAGGGTTAAAACAGATGTAACCTTGGTGTAGAGGAGTTCATGAGTGACTGTAGTAGTGCTTTGCTTCCCCTCCAGCCATCACCTTTCTGAGGTACAGTTCAGTCTTCAAAGAAAGGCTGGACATTCCTTGGTTACTGTAAAACTGCTGTTATTGGCAAAGCTATTGCTTAGTTAGCATTTTCACCCTCTTTCTGTTGCTTCTGAATTATTTTTTTTTTCTTTATAAAAATAATGTTTTGTTTTTCTTTTCTAAAATCTTGGTATTACAGAGCATTAAAGATAGCCTGGGGAGACTGCAGGGTCATATAGACATTATTCACAACAAGAAGATACCGGCCTTGCAAAATGCAACACCAAAGGAAGCAGCAAATATACAAGAAAAGCTGACTCAACTTAATTTTCAGTGGGACAAAGTTAACAAGATGTACAGGGACCGACAAGCGTAAGTAACTTTTAAAGATTGCTATTTCTCATGGCATCCATTGGTATTTGACCTACTGTTGGTGACTGTTTCCTGGTCGTCTTTTAGTGGACATACATATAAAGTTGCAAATGATACTTTCTTGTAACTAAGCATAGAATGGGAATTGTAATTTAATATATAAACATTTTCCTAAAATTGAAAATATTTTTACCAACTATTACTTGCATTATATCAGAATCTGGTGTGATGTAGTACACATATTCCTTTACATATTCCTTTATATGTAGTATACATATACCTTTACTCTGAGACACTGTTGGGCATCTACTCTTTTTTATCTATGCTATTGATTTAAAAATTTAAATCTGATGAGTACATCAGAGTAAAAACCCTTTTAATTGCAGAGGGTTTATTAGCTTGAGAAGCAGTTCTCAACTGATGTCTAAGGAGCACAGCTAAATTGTTAGTAGCTCCAAATTCAGTGTAATCTCTTTATAAATTTGTCCATTAGACAGCAAGCCAGGACAAACAAGAGACACATGGAAAGGCATTAAAATGATAATAAATAAAGCTTTGATCCCTTGCACTATAATACTTATTATTATTATTATTTTTCTCATTGTATATTAGTTTTGTTGTTTGTAATCTGGGAATCATATTGTGATACAAAATATTGCCAAACTTCTTTCATTAATACAGGCATGGTTCATGTTAGTAACACAACAGAGACTAGCAAACCAGTAATTTATTTATACTCTATAGAAGATGTCTGATGTTTCAAATTTTTGACTTTGTACAATAAAGTACCTAGGTTTATACTTCCTCTTTTTATTTTTTTTTAGCTTGAAGATTTATCAGATTTTACTGGCAGGGATACAGAAAATTCTGTGACTTGTGTGGTGTACTTTTTTTTTCAGTATGAGTAATTAAAGAGTTAACAAATATTTATTTTCAATAAAAAGTCATAGTTTCAAACTTCTATTGAATCTCCACACAAAAGTCCTTGATGATTTTTCTGAGAATGTAAGCCATTAATCTGATAATGAAAGTCATTATATCTATGACTAGTTCCATTCATTGAAATTGTCCATTCATAGGAATTTTACAAAATTGGCTCTTCAGATAATGATGAAAACTTGACAGTTTTATTTAATATGCTACTCCAAAAGAAAATAGATTGACATTTGCTAGAATATCACTTGTTACACTACAAATATGTTTAGAAATACCCCTTATTCCAGAAACTGTTCTTAAAACCAGAAAAATTGTTCTGAAAAATATTAATGTCCAAATGATTATTGTGTTGTATAGTAGGAAGATATATTAATCTAAACATATAAGCAGTGACTAGAAGAAAAAAATACTTCCTGTGGACTTAGAGTACACTGATTTTGTCCTACAGTCCAAGCCTTTGTATCTTTTTCTGTTTTATTTCTTTAGAAATATTGGTCAATAGCGGTCACATTGAAGATTTGTACAGACATACTATTTCCACTGTCACTCAGTCACTACCTTTCATTTTAGGTTGCTGGAGAGAGAGAGAGTAGAGTTTTTTTAAAAAAATCATAATCATATAGAATCATAGTAAAAAATATAGACTTCATGTAATCCCTGCTTTGTCTCAATATTTAAAGTGTAAGAAAGTAAGACATTCATAACCTAGTAAGATTTCCAGATACTCCCATGCACAGCACTTTTTTTTTTAAAGAAATAGTAGCCCTGGCTCTGGTGCGGTAAGGAAGATCTTTCTATTTGTTTTGATGCCATGTACAAAAATCATAAGTTAGAAGCAGGGACCGAAGCCAAGCTGCTCACACAGGTAATAAAAACTGGATATTTGATATTGTACTTTTTCCCAGAGACTAGGTTTGCCCAAACTCTTACTGGTATTTTAGACCCAGTTCTGAAAAACCTTTGGAATCTCCCCATATGCATTTTTCTACCACTGATACAGAGCAAGGAAAGCAATTTACTGTTAGTGGAAAGCTTGCTCCACCAGCAGTGCCACTCAGCCCTTATTTAGACTACAGTGATATTTAGCCAGCAGCAGAAAGTATTTTGAAGTGACATGAATTAATGTTTGTCAAGTATTTTGAGGTCATCAGATAAAGGTACTAGAGAAGTGAAAAATACGATTATTCCTCAGCTGGCATTTGCCTGAGGGAGTCATCCTTTTAGTATGATGGACAGCAGCTCAAGGTGATAATAAGCTTGACTGCTGTCTGGAATTGCAGGCTTTTCTCTTTCATTAAAATCTTTTGTTTGCAGTGTGGGTCATACTGTGTCATTGTTTCAGGGGTGTCCCTTGAACTCTGAGGTGCTCCCTATAGGTTCTGCAATTTTGTGAGGTGCATTTGGACTGCACAGGAATGCTGGGGAGGAGATGAAGGAAGACAGTATGGCCTTTAGTATTTTGCTTCTAGCAGTTTGTGTCTCTAAGGGGTGAAGATATCAGTGTTGGTCTGCACTTGAGACAGGGATGAAGCTGTTTTTATGAGATACACAATTGATGATGATATTTTAAGACAGTTTTTGAATTATTATTGGAGCTCTGCCTTGCTTTCAAGGGACTGTGTCTAAGTGAATATGACTATTCCATGTTTGAAAGGTTGCAGAAACAAATATTCAGAAATGAACATAATATGGTCTGTTGGTTTTAGGAAATCAAAGGATTTTAATAACATGGAAATTTTTATTTAAGTAAATGCAAAATCAACCATCAGTGTGATAGATGGAAGTACAAAATTACTGCCCTGTAGTTACTAGCAGAGAGCTTACTTTAATTCTCATAGAAATCAACGGAAACATTCACATTGAATTCTTTTGTGTGAAATAGATTTCCTGGAAGTCCTGATTCATATCTAGATACTTTGTAATTAACTTTATAGTAAGTTCCTTTTAATTAGAAATCAAAATAGATTTTCAGTTTGTTTTACAGTGAAGCACGGGCCAGTTTGACAGGAATTCATTATGATGATAAATACTCGAACAGCTTTACAAGTCCAGTTCTTCTACAGTATTTGAAAATCTTGTTTCACATTGTCACTTTCAAATGTTTCTTGTATTTGAATAGGTGTTTGTACTGTACTTTACAGTAAGATAACAGGCAATATTTCACTGAAAAATTGTAAGTAAAAATGCTGTGTTCATCCTAGTGTACTCTTCCAATTGTATTAGAAACCTAGAATGAATTCAAATTTTTACTCTTTTCACACCCTTCTAAACACTAGCCTTCAGTTGAGTGACTTTTTCAGTAAAGCCCAGATTTAGCATGGTTCTTTGAGGGGAGTGAGTTTTTTGTCTATACAAATTAATTTCAGAACATGGTAATTGGTTGTGTTTCCAACAGATATATGGAGCTGACACCATCTTACACCAAGTGGAATTTTCTTTTTTCAGTTTAGTTTTTTTTGAGTGCACAGCAAACTCCAGGAAACAGCACCGGTGGCATGATTTGTCTTTTGTGAGCTAAGAAGTAATTTATGATTGCATTTATAACTTCAGCCTTTCCTCTCATGTTACTAAACTTAGTGTTATCTTTTCCAATATTCACATTAAGATAATGCAATCTGAATTTTTTAAGGTAGAATTACATTACAGTGCCAGTAAGAATAATCATTCAGATGCCATATTTTTTCGTGTCGTTATACCAGAATTTAACAACAGTCTCCCTTCTTTGCAGCTGCCTTAGTTACTGGGTTTTTTTGTTGTTAGTCATGACTATTTAGGAAGTGATAGTAAATCCACGGCCCGGTAGATCTTCAATGACAGTGCATAATAGTTGGAAAAATATTTAGCATTGTTCAATAGATAATAGAAAATAGATTTTTAAATTACTGTTTTCTATTTATTTTAGCAACTTACCACGTGTAGAAGACCTTGTTTCTCTTGTCAAGATATTGTCTTCCTATGTTTATGCCTCAGTCTGGTTTCTGTGAACAAGATACACTCCCTAAAAGTAGTCCTTTCTAACAGTAGCAGAACTCATTGAATCAATAAAATGCAACAAACTTTTCCAAACTGGATCAACAATAGATTAATTTTAAATATTTCTGTAGGAAGTGCAAATCAGTCACAGAGAATGTAAAAAACACCCAATTAATGTAATTAAGCACAAGGCAAGAAAAATACATAAATAATCAAAAGAATCTCATTTGAAAACAAAATACTTAAATTTTACAGATATTGTGGACCTTGAACATTTTTGAAAATCTTTTTTGACTGTGAGTTAAAGTTCTAATGAATGCCTCATATAAATTTCAGGAAAATAATTTTTGCTTTTTTTTCATGTCATATTTAAGAATTATCTGCTGTAGCATACTTTATAAATTAGATTTATGCTCTTCTAATTAATCTGAAATCTACTAAATATTAAATGGTCTGAGAGAGTGGAGGAATGTTTAGACCAGATTATTGCTAATCAGATTCTTGCTAATTCTGAAAAAAAAAAGAAAAATATGATATGCCAGTCATTAATAATGGTGTCAAAATACATTAATGGCTTTATAAAAGTCAGAAACAACTAACAATTTTTGTAGCAGCAAGACAAACCATAAAGAACTAGTTACTAAGCTTATACTAAGAAAGATTTTCATTTTTTGACAGTAGTACAGCTGTCAACTATTTCCAAATGGCCTTAAATTAGCTGTTGATTAGCTTCATAGAACCTAATGAAAAATGTATATTATTCATGAAGAATCTTTTCATTGACAGAGAAATAATATTTTGTGGTCATATTTCTAACCTCACATAACAGTAGATGCTGTAATCTCTTACTGAAACATTCTGTCTAGTTAAGATCTAATCCAATTAATGGATCAAGATATTAGGAAAAAGAAATGCAAGGCATTATTTTTTTAAAATGTAAGTAACTTGAGTATGTTCATATAGCAACAGAACAAGCCACCGGTAAGCCTGAGGACTTGCCTACTTGTGGTGTCTGAATCTGTGCTCTGCTCACGTTGATAAAAATGCATAGTTATGATACTAAGATACCTGGATTCAGCCCAAATGATGTA